AAACAGTAAGTAAACTAAATAAAATATTTTTTAAATTTCTTCTAATTTCTTGATCCCTAATTCTGTTTTCTGCATTATTCATTACATTTTGAAGAAATAGGTAGATTTTACCAAATCAAATCTTCATCCATTTACTCATCACACTCATTTCATGTTATTATTTTAACTACTTCATATGGAGTACTAACTGTTAATATTACAGATACTAAGGATACTGCATGATACCTATACAGAAGGATACGGTTCCTGCCTTCCTTCAGTTTAGAGCCTGCTGAAGAAGAAAGACATTTAGCCAATGATGACACAATTACATAATCGTGAAATTTCAGTGAAAGACAAGAAGGAAAAGAATGGAGACCTAATTTGGACTTGGGAGTCAGGATCGATCTCTGGAGGAAAAAAAAAAATGACATTAGACTGAGGTTCCAGGGTGAGTAGGAAGGAATTAATCAGGTCAAGCGAAGGAGAATGAACATTCACGGTAGAAGGAGGAGCAGATATAAAATACTTGAGAAAGGAGAATGGTGTAGATTGGGAACCTAGAGGTCTGCACCTGGTGAGCCAGAGGGGACCCTAAAGACTTGGCCCTCATAGATCCAGTCAAGTATTGTGGACCTTATTAAGAGAATATTTTGGCTTTCTGAAGTAATTTAAGAAAGATAGTAATACCATCATATTTATATTTTTTCAGAGAGAACTCTATATTATAAATCAACTAAAGGGTGTGTGCGTGCGTGCTAAGTTGCTTCAGCTGTGTCTGACTCTGTGCGACCCCATGGACTGTAGCCCACCAGGCTCCTCTGTCCATGGGATTCTCAAGGCAAGAATAATGGAGTGGGTTGCCATGCTCTCCTTCAGGAGAGGGATCAAACCCATGACTCCTGCATTGCAGGTGGTCTCTTTACCAACCAAGCCACCAGGGAAACCCACAACTAAAGTGGGGGGTGGGGACAAAGACTGAAAGAAAACAAACTGGAGACTTGCCAATAGTTTCAAAAATAGAAAATTAAACTAGGGTGATAACAGTGGATATGGAAAAAGGAAAGAGATTCAAGACACATTTTTGAGAATAAACCAACCTCAGTAGTGGGATAAATATAAGTAAACAGAGGAGACGTAAATAACAAAGGTGATAATCTGATTTATGGAGATGGATGAAGATGGTATTCAAGGAGTTGAAGAAGACCAGATGAGAAACAGGTCTGGAGGAGGCTAGAGTCATGATCATGCTTAGAAATCATTGAAAATGGAAATTTGGATATGTGAGTGTGAAGCTCTGAAGAAAGTCCTACAAAGATAAATTGGGAATCATCAGCATATATTTTCTATTAAAAGCCGTGTGTGTGTGTGTGTAGTTGAGAAAAAGTGATGCAATATTATATGAAAATCCAGAGCTAGTTCTAAAGGAATTTAATTTTGACAGAAAAAGAGGTGTCAGCGTATAAGAGAACAGCCAAAAAAGGTAAAAAGAAAATCCAGGAACATGATGTCACAGAATCCAAGCAAAGACAATGTTTCCTGAAGGTCATCGTGGTCAATATTGTCGAATATCAAGTAATAATGGAGTTTGTGGAGTTCATTGGACCACAACAGCAATTTAAATGGAATAGGAAAGACAAAAGTTGATTGATGAGTACATGAGGTGGGTTGAAAGGATGAGAAATTAAAAAGATTAAATTAAAGGAAGCATATATAGTTAACTATTTTGCGGAACATGCCTGGGAAAGGGAGTAGAGAGTGGTAAATAAAAGATGGTGAATTAAAGATGGATGAGATCAGAACACCTTTAAAGGCTATTGGGAAAAATCTTTTAAAAAAGAAGATGATCAAAATTCAATAAAGAGGGAAGATGAAAGAAAATATAAACCAAGGTGTATCATTATCATTCCTCTGATTAGAATAAAATACATATTCCCCAGCCTGCTCTAAAAAAGCCTCCTAGTTAAATCTCTGTCTCTATCTTGTGCCCTCATTTCCTTTTTCATTCACTAAGAATTCTCTCATGAATTCCAGTTTATAACCTTTGCACAATCTACATCCTCTTCCAGGATTTTCCTTCCCTCTGCTCTTTCCTTGGCTCACTCTTTTCCATAATTCAAGTCTCAGCTGAGATATTGTTCTTCACCATCCACTGAATTCAAAATGATCTCCAAATTTTCATATCTTGTTCCTTCTTTTCATCCAAACCTCCCATTTGTTTCCTCAGTGAAACCCTTCTGATCACCTAATGCAAATTAGTAACACCCTATCCCCAAGCCATCACCCTGATTAGCACAGCACTTCTTATGCCACATTTTACTGCTCATGTACTTATTTACATGTTAATGGTATGTCACTTCTCTCTAGAATATAGGCTCTATGAAAGCAGGGATCCCATCTTACTTGCCCCATGCCATATCTCCAGAATGTATGATAGTGCTTGGCATATGCAGGTGCTCAATAAAAGTTTGCTGACTGGTAAATTTAATTTACAGGTCAGTCTTCTTAGAAAACATCTAGAAATTAAAAGCCACATTATTAAAATTTTAATCAAATTCAGTACAGTTATACAGGTGATAGATTGGAAGATTTTAGTGAATAACATTATTTAAAATATTATAGATAATTTATTTTAATAGATGATCTTAATGATTCCATATCTCTTATAATAATATTAACTCTAACTTTCATCCATCAGGTATATATGCTATCTAATAGCGAGGCAAGGTTTTTCAGAATAATACAATAAATTTATTATGGATAGTCCATTTCACAGATAAAATACATATATGAAATAAAAAATGTATTTACATTTACAAACATTTATTGCCATGCACAAAAATGAATGAAATGTAATTATTCAAAGATGAGTGAGTGAATAAAGATGAAAAAGTTAACAACACTGTGCTTTTAAAAAGCTTTGTTGGAGTATGAACAAAATAATGAGGAGTCTGTTCGGTTGAACACCTCTAGGCCATGGACTTTACTCATTTCAATTTAGATACTATTCAAATGCTTCCATTTCTCCTAGGCACAGTTGTTAATATAAAATTCAGTTACCATGGTATCTAACATTTTCTCCCAAATCAAGTGAAAGTCTTTTTCACAAAGAAGGAGGAGAGACAAGTTTATTTTTGATGCCAGTGTTTCAGTGGAGACATTAGGCTCTGTCTGTGAGAGGACTAGGTTGCCGTAAGAAAATAAGTACAACAAACAAAAATACTGTGCTCAGTGGCTCTGCAATGCCAGCTCATTACCCCAGCTCATTTCTGGAAGGGACTAAAGATTAGAAAATGCCTCTTCCTGAGTTGTAGAAGACCTATAAAACCAAGTGGGCTTCCCTGGTGGCTCAGCGCTAAAGAATCTGCCTGCAACGAAGGAGGCAAGAGATGGGGCTTCCATCCCTGGGTCAGGAATATCTCCTGGAGGAGGGCATGGCAACCTACTCCGGTATCCTTGCCTGGAGAATCCCATGGACAAAGGAATCTGGCAGGCTACAGTCCATAGGGTCACGAAGAGTCAGACAAAAAACTGATATAGCAGCCGAAGCATAAAACTGAGCAACTCAGAAAGTACTGAAAAGGAATACTAGGGAAAATAAAACAAAGGAAAAATAGCAACAGAAACTGTGGTAAGCTGAGTATGACCTTTGGAAAAAGAAGAAAGATTTTGCATATCTAAGAAAATCTCCTCACAGTCCTCTCTGAAAGATTAAGATGATTCAGTGTTTCATTTATTTATTACAAATAAGTATGGCTTTCTCTGACAAAACATCACGGTTCTTACTTAGGTACTATTATGCAGAGACAGAACATCAAGTTTATGTTGGTTGTTCAAAGTCATTCTTTTTTTTTTTCTAAAGTCATTCTTAAAGATCAAGAATAAGAACTAAATTTAATAATTAGAAATATTTGCATGCGAGAGATCTGTTTCTTCCAAACATTTCTTTGGGCTTATAGTCTATGTCAAAGGATGGGAAGCACTGTTATAAATGTGTCTCATCCAAACATTAATGAGGAAGCAAATCATTCGCCTTTTGAAAATTGCAGTATCTATTTGGATGTCATTTATCACCTGTCCGATGGAAAGAAATGAGGCAGAAGCAGGCAGAGAAATATTTCTGAATCCTGAGTTTTCTGGATGAAAAAGATGTATTCCTCTATGTATTACTTCTTATCTTGCTAATACAACAGAATACAACTATTTTACCCACTAGTATAGCATTTAGCACATAAAGTATTAATTGCCAAAACATTTTGAAGTCTTTGAGAGCAGTATCTTAGAAATAATAAGTAAAATCAGTGTAAATACAAATTAATAAACATTAAACTAGTGACAAATATTCATGCATCTTCCAAAACACTTTGTCTTTAAAGCAATGTTAATTCTTTTATACATTTTTTCCCACAACAAGTGAATGATACTTATATGCTAAAACATCATATAGAATATGATGCCTGTTTTTGCTTTTCTCATTGTGTATCTTCTAGAAAGCAAGAGGCTATTTTTTTAAGTATATTATTTAAAAATACTTTACTAGAAGTTAAACGGTGCTTTACCAGAAATTTCTAAGGAAAAAATGAAGAAAATTTGAATAATGCTCCTTTTTTTTTTTTTTGAACACCATAGTCTATTCCAACATATGCAAATGGCACCTTTCAATTTCTGGTTCCATCTATGTTATGCTACAAAAGGCTTGTTCTTTTCCACCATTTCACATTGAGCAGGGGCACCTCCTTTATAGATGGCTCTGGATTCAATCCATTTTGCTACATTTTGAAGTAAAAAGAAAAGAAATGGTAAAAAAAAATAAAGTTCTGCTTTATTATGACTGGCCAGCCATAATGCACTTTACAAATTTGAACCCCCAAAATGTGGTGTGCTTTCAAGATATCGCTTCAATTGTCTCAGGCTACAGGTTAAGGTCACATTATGAATTTCCCTACATTTATGATCTCGACACGTTTTATATTTAATTTTTTGTGGAGGTTTTTCTTTACCCTGAGCTATGTTTGTGCTAGACCGTAAAATCAGGTGATGACCCAGTGGAATCCATAGGGACATTAAAGAGATTGCAGAAACTGGTTTGGACCAAGAAAGGAAAGGTGCCCAGTCTGAATGAGATGAAACCTACATCAGTAAACCTCCGTAAGTAAGAACTTAATGATCTCATTATTTACCTACTTTATACATCGTATCAGTGTATATGTGTCCATCTAATCTCCCGATTTCTTTCCCCAAGCCCCGCCTTCCCCTTGGAGTCCATACATTTATTCTCAGCATCTGTGTCTATTTCTGCTTTTTAATGAATGGGAAGGAAGTCCAAAAGGGAGAAGATATGTGTATATGTATGTCTGATTCACTTTGCTGTAAAATAGAAACTAACATAACATTGTAAAGCAACTATACTCTGATAAAAATAATTTAAAAACCTCAATGAGCTGATAAAAATGTCTTGAGGATGAATTCAGATAGTATATATTAATGAAAAACATTTTGATAAGGCTTTAAAATAATTATTAAATATTAAGGGCTATCTTTATTGCCAAGTTATTTGTGAAACAAATATTCTCACACTGTTCCTGAATTTCACTTTGTATCTATGCCACTCCATTTCTCTTCTTCAGAACCAGATTCATGGGTAGAGTAAGAGAAAGCTATGGGTAAAGCTCAGCAAGATGATAAGGACCAGCATTGTCCACTCTTTGCATTCCTTGACCTCATAAAACAGTACAATTCAGTTTTGATGTGAATGCCACTGGCAGGTCATGCAACTTTGATTTTCATTTATTTATTTACAAGAATGCCCTATTAATCATAATCTTGTGTTTATACTCGCTAAACACTTGAACTTAAATAGATTCAATGAATGGTGCAATTTACTAAGGGTTATATATGTTTCTATTTCCTATAAACTTTAATACATTACCAAAAATTTCATCACACCTTACAGTACATGTAAATATAGGTCTCACTGATCAACTTTATAGGACCAAAGATATGCCGTCCTCTGCTTTCTGTCTTGTTCTCTCTTTTCCAAAATATTTCACTATGAGACACACATCATGCATAAATATCTTTGCAGATTGATATTAAATTAGAGAATTTTAGGTTATCAAGAGAACTTCAGAAAATCTCTACTGAGATTTCATTCTCTTAATTAAGACAAAAATCTGATTTGCTTCTTTATATGTCTTCTTGTATGTGTGCCCTCAAACAATTTAAAAAAATACTTAAGAATAAAAACACACCATATCATGCTTATAATATATGAGGATTTTTTTTTATTTGTAATTTTTCTAAAGTCTCTTTCAGTACACTATTTCCACATGGATTCTAGTCAAACTGGCTTTAATCTTCACACACAACTTCCAAAAAAAGTTAGGTAAATCTGTTTTTACAAAACAAATCACTTGATATACCAAAGACATACTCTTTAAAGAAATGCTAATTTAAAATTATTTTGTAAAATTATATGACTCTCTGGCTTAACCCGTAATGTTCATTCATTACTATTATATAAAGGGAATTATAATAGTCATAATTTCTACATGTGCAAAATTATTAGACAGGCTTACCTCTTTAACTTATTTTTCTTTATCATTCAGGAGATGAAGATGAAACACTGATTTCCTGTATGAAATTAGCCAAAAGTCAAGAAAGGAAAGTTAATAATGTTAACACAAGGGGGAAGGAAGGAATGGAAATTAGATTGGATTCTATTTCTGCATCACTGGTTAGATCCAGTGCTTCAGCTGGATGCAGCTTGGCAGAAATGCTATCCCAGAATGAAGGTGAAGTTCAGATGTGGAACAACTGGAAACCTTTTCCAAAAAACCCGTTGTGGACATATGTTGATTTTCAAATTGACCAGATTGGACTGTGGGGCAATTGTTTCCACTGCACTCACCACCCCAGTCTCATGTCTTCTTGTACAGATATGGATCTCCCACACTCATGGGTAAGTTCGTAAAATGACGGAAATGTATCATCTTATCTGGATCTTGGTACTAGCAGGAAAGAAACAGATAACAAAGGTGCTAATCAGTCAAATTTACCAGTCTCTGGAAAGTTAGCAGAGTTAGAGCTGTCTTTCCAAAAAAGAATGCAACTCTAGTGACTTCTGCTATTATGTTGCTATTGTATATATTCCCTTGTGTTCAAATAAACTACTGCATAGCTCAAACAGTAAAGAATCTGCCTGCAATGCTGGAGAACCAGGTTTGATCCCTGGGTCTGGAAGATCCCCCTTTAGAAGGGCATGGCAACCCATTCTAGTATTCTTGCCTCAAGAATTCCATTTACAGTCCATGAAGTCGCAAAGAGTTGGATACGACTGAGCGACTAACACAGACAATATTTTCCAGAGATTTCTTTTTAACCAAAAGAAGATAAAGGATGTTGATTCAGATCAAGATGTTGTGTGCTAAATTGCCTAAATTATTGTTGGTGTGTTGAAGTTTCACTGGTAATTAATACATGAAAGTGTTAGTCGCTCAGTGGTTCAGATGGTAAAGAATCCCACTAATTTAAATGAGCATTTTCTTTGGGCCTGCTAGTCTCGTAAGTACATCACATGTATTATTTCATTTAAATCTCACAACCTTATAATGTAGGGAGTGATATTCTAATATTAATTCTTTCCTGTTTTACAATTGAGAAAGATGAGGTACAAAAAAGTAACAGGTACAATGTCACAGATCTAACAATTTGTGAAGCCAAAATCTAGAACCTCCACAGTCCTATGCTAGGGATCCTGATTTAAGCTAATATATTATAGCGTTTCCCACGTACTAAACTAATGGTGTATGGCACACAAGAAAAAGTAGTGATCTGGAGTTAGACAAATCTGGGCTTGAATTCAAATTCTGCTACTTGGGCAAGTTATTGAAACCTTTTAAGCTTAATATTCTCAATTGTAAAATGGAAGGTGCTCAGCAGTTCAGGCATGTCGGATTCTTCGTGATCCCATAGACTGTAGCCCCCCAGGCTCTCCTGTCTATGGAATGTTCCAGGCAAGAATACTAGAGTGGGTTGCCATGCCTTACTCCAGGGGGGTAATAGAGAAACTAAAATTATATAGCACAGATATTCTAAGATTTAAGAGTGTTAATTTTTTTTCCCAGATAAGTTACTCATCTGCCTGGTATAGTCCTCTTTCCTTTAAAACCATCATCCTAAGCCATAAGACTTAGATCAAATACTTTGTTCTCTAGAAAACTTGCCTGGGTCATACCAGATAGAAGCAATCTTTTTCCTTTGAACTTCCAGATCACTTAAGGGTATTCTTCTTTCATTGTATAGGCATTAAATCTACATGAGCATCCCAATATTAGACATTGGGGACACAGAGCCAAATAATACATCCATTGGCCCTATCTTCATGGAGCTTATCACACTCCATCCTGTAGCAGGATGAGTTGGGCATTAGTTTACTTGCTATAAATAATTTATGTTTAAATTCTCCCTAGTCTCTAGAATGTCACTGTTTGCAACTCTTTGAGACCCCATCAACTGTAGCCTGCCAGGCTCCTCTGTCCATGGAATGTTCCAGGCAAAAAAACTAGAATGGGTTGCCCTTTTCTACTTCAGGGGGTAATAGAGAAACTAAAATTATGTAGTTTCAATCATGTTCGACTCTTTGAGACCCGATGTCTGTACATAGCCCATCAGGCTCCTCTGTCCATGGGATTTCCCAGGCAAGAATACTAGAGTGGGTTGCCATTTCCTTCTTAGGGGATCTGCCTAACTCAGGGATAGAACCTGTGTCTCCTGCATTGGCAGGTGATTCTTTACCACCGAATCACCAGGGAAGCGGAATGTCATGGGCACTCAAATATTTGAGTAACATTTGCTGACTAAATGAATAGAAGTTTTAGAAACCAATAGACTTTGTTACCATAGATCTAGAGAAAAAATTATTTCTTCATTGTCTAACTGTTCTATATTAATGCAGTCATTGTTGTTGTTCAGTTGCTAAGTTGTGTCTGACTCTTTGTGACTGCAGCATGCTAGGCTTCCCTATCCTTACTATATCCCAGGGTTTGCTCAAATGCATGTCTGTTGAGTTGGTGATGCTATCCAGAGGATAGTAGCTATCCTCTGCCACCCTCTTCTCCTTTTGCCGTCTATCTTTCCCAGGATCAGGTCGTCTCCAGTAAGTCAGCTCTTTGCCTCAGGTGGCCAAAGTATTGGGGTTTCAGCTTCAGCATCAGTCTTTTCAATGAATATTCAGGGTTGATTTCCTTTAGGATAGACTGGCTTGATCTTACAGTCCAGGAGACTCTCAAGAGTCTTCTTCAGCACCACAATTTGAAAGCATCGTATATAAACTCTATTATCATGTGTATGTTTGAGTGTTTGTGGATGTGTGTCTTGGTTTAGGTGTGTATGCATAGTAATGTTTTTCTTTTTTACTTAGGTAATTTTGTCTATTTTAGTACATAGCTAAATGATTAAGTAAATAAGTTTTATCTATAGAAAGTCAAACCTATATGCAGAATGCTCAGAGTTTCAGATGGTAATGTTCAGCATTTGTAACAGGAAAACCTCAGTGGACTTGGACAGAGGGTCCAAGAACATGTTAGAGTTAAATTGGTTTGGTAACTTTAATGAGACCACTTGCACTCAGGGATTTGAGACATAGAGTAAAAGAAGTTGAATGAGGGCAAAGTATTATTTTTATATTTTACATATATATTCTATAATAATAGCAAGTAAAACTATCTAGTTTCATTTTAGCATATCTGATATTTTTCTGTAATAATTGCAAGGCTTTTATTTGGGTTACAGTTACTTTCATTCTAGGCAAGATACAGAAGGCATATAGTGTTGAGGAAAAAGTCTTCTCAAATGAGTGTTGCTATCAATGACAGGTAGTCAGCAGTGACCAGATTTTTTTTCTAAATGTACCAACATATGCAGATATGTTGGAGCAGAGCATAAACCCCACATTTTGGGAGAAATAAAACTAATCCACAAATTAGTTTCTTGATCTCAGAAATCTCAACAATAATGGATTCCTGTGTCTTTGATCTCATCATTGTATCAGTTTTGAGGCAGCCTGAAATTGACTTGTCTTCAGACAGTCCTCATTCTTCCAGATACATCTCCCTGCTAACCAACTTCAGGCTCAAACTCTCAAATCTAGTTCTTCTAGAGCTGGGTGTAATGCCAACTCTGACATCACTAGCAGAGTGAGATTGGGCAAACTCCTTACCCTCTTTAATAAAAAAATTTCAATTCTGTATTGGTTTCAGATCCTACTCATTTCTTTTCCTCTGCGTGACTTTTTGCATACTGAAAACACTCATTTGTAAAACAAGGTTATCAAGATCTACTACACAAGGGATGGTGGGATGATTAAATGAAATGGTGTCAGGACTCTGTCAATAGCAGGTGATATTTATACCCAAATCAGAGTCCAGAGCTTGTGCTGGGCTTGGAAAGTAGCAACATTTTACTTCAGTTGAAATACCATAAACAAGCTGAATCCAGATAAGGAAATGTATTCTTTGTGAATGACTCTTCACAAAAGTCAAGAGGGGGAGAATGAGACATACAGATATTTAATGTGTGGTTTAGTTGTTTGTAAGGTCTATGGGATCTGAGGTGTAGGGAGAGATGTGATTATAGAATTTCTATAAACTGAGAAAGACAAAAGATGAGATTTATGAAAGCAAATACACCACAAGAGAAATGTGAAAGGAAAGCTACATAAGGATGCCAGTCTTTTCTAATATCCGTGATGAGTGTTGTTGAGAGGGAATTCAGATGCATCTTAAGAAAGATAACAATGAAAGCAACCAAAAATAATATTGAAGCCAAGTGTTTACAATCAACTTACAAGAAGAGTGATTGAAGAGTACTTATGAAACGCTGCATGCTAAAAACTTGAAACATAACAAAAGAGGAGAGTGAGCCGTAGGCTTGGTAGGAATAAGGACAAGAAAGAATAAAGTTTGTGTGTTGCAAAGGCAATGAGGTCTTCCTTTAATCTAATATTTTAAAAAGTAATACAATAGCAGCTAATATATTTTTCCAAATCTGGGATTATTTTCTCAGATTTTTGAGAATAAACAGTTTTTCAGATTAAGAAATGGAAGTAATCTTGACATGAAAAAGAGGAACAGATATCCGTTTTTCCCTTTAAGTGTCTAAAATGTTTTGAAGTCTATTTTATAAAAATAGTGTGACATATTTAAAAATGATAATAACAAAAGTTTTCAGAAGGAGGAAAGTCAAAGGCCTCAGAGAATACAACAGAAACCCACACATAGAAGAATCGAAATGTAGTGTAGAGAGAAAAATGATAATGAGAAACAAAATTTCATGGAGGTCAAAGAAAAAATGAGTGAAGTTTATATACAAAAGGGAACATAAACAAATCTCTACTTCATGCATCTTTATATATGTTAAAAGAGAATGAGAAGAGTGAAGCTAGAAGGTCTTATTGGAGTATTACGTGAACCCTTCAAAATTGCACCAAAAGACAGTGTGGAGAGTGGAAGATTTCTTTACTGAACTGTTTCAGTGAGAGGATCAGAAAGTGTGCTCATGTTAACCTGGAAGTAAAGGAACAAAGATTTTACATGAATCTTCTCATTCAAATAGGGAGTACTGGGTGCTCTAATTATTGACCTGGGAAAATGTTCTTGGGTCACACAGCCCCACCGCTAAGTGATTTCAGAGTTTCAATACTGTCCCTCCAAAACTACTGATCTATGGGAGAAAAGCTATCTGTGACCATCTTCTTTTGTCTTCCTAGTCTCAACCTTGGCAATCTCTCCGTCTCTCTGATGCTGGCCTACCTCTTTCAATCAACATGACACATCATTACCAGATTAATCTACCAGGTTAATTTCCTTGACTAATCTACCTGATTAATGCTACCTGGATAATGATTCTGAAGCTCAAACCTAATAATATTACTGCTCCCCTTACAAACCTTTAAGTGTCTCC